CTCCACCTCCGCCAGCCGGTACCGCGGGGGTTCAGTCTACCCCGGGGGTCTGGAACACCCTGCGCCATTCCGGGCAGGAGGTTTTTCACTAGGTGCTCTCCCTCCTGGCTACAAAATGGGGGGTGGGGGTGGGGTGGGGTGTGTATTAAACGTCAGGGGGAAATCTGGGAGGAGGGGAGGAGGAATTATATGCTCCTTTGGCTTTAAACGAAATGGGCTCGGCTGTATTTTGGGTCTCATTTCTGTTCTGGCCTACTAAGCGCAGCAGAGAGGCAATGTGGAGACAGTGCTTCTCGGTGACCCTCACAATGCTGCTAACACGTCTGCGTGCCTGAACGTTGCTCTGCTTCCAGTAGGACCTCGTGAAGGCTTGGTGGTGTGTGTCTGGTGTTGTTTTTTCTTGTTCTACACATAGGACTATAATGGTGTAATGAGTATACTGCACCGGTACAGGTTAGGGATTCATCTGCTGGAAAGTAGCTCTGCAGAGAGGGACCTGTGAGTCTTGGTGGACAAGTTGACCATGAGACAGCAATGTGCCCTTGTGGCCAAGAAGGCCAATGACATCCTGGGGTGCATTAAAAAGATTGTGGCCAGCAGGTTGAGGGAGGTCATCCTTCCCTTCTACTCTGCCCCGGTGAGGCCACATCTGGAGTACTCATCCCACTCATGTCCCCCATGTCATGTCCCTGTGCCAGTTCCATAACTGCCCTGGCTCCATGCCATGGTCTAGCTCCAGCTTCCTCATCCTATATCCCTGCCCTACCTTTGTGACCTTGTCATGGCCCTATGTGTCTGTCTTGAGTCCGTGTTTTCATGCCAGCTCATGACATGTCCCTGCCCTTGCCCTGCATCATGCTGAAACAGCACACGATGACTCTTCTCTGGCCTGAGCCCACAACCGCAAACAGCAACAAATGCATTTCACATGCAGTACACCTCTGAAGTCAGATCTTTATGAGCTGTGAGAACTCGCCTTGATGGGAGGAGAAACTGTTGTCAGGGCCCTGAGTGCATTAATAGCCCTTAATTACCTTGGCCAGCCTTAGCTGGGGTGTCTACCCATGCACCCTCTGGCCACTGACCCATGGGCTCCGTGTAAACTTAGACATGACCTGACCTATGCTGTAGGTGTGCATGTCCAGTCCTGTTTCCTGTTGTCCTGACATATGGGCTGGTCTTCCTGCACAGGCTGTGAACCTCTGCTGCAGGTAGCTTCATCTTCAGTCCTGCCTCCTGGATGGACCATGGACACATATTATAGGTAGCCTCGGGCTTGACTCTTACCTTGCTATGTCTGGGGCTGTTGCTGGATCCAGCCACTACTACATGCCTGTTGCCATTCAGAAACTTCAGGACTGTACCGTAGTCATGGATGTCACTGCCCTTGCCTGCACCATGGTCACCTCTGCTTCTGGCTTGTCCTCCTGTGCAAAGCAGCCCTACTTCTGCTGTTCCCTGACACCCCTAGAGCTAGCATAAATGACAAAAGCTGTTATCTGACTTCAGACAAGCATGAATTTGAAGTGGGGAAGAGGATTCACTGCTCTGCTGTGTGGCAGCACCAGAGTTAGGGTGCCAGGGCACAGCAAGGGCTGGCTGCTCCCCAGGAGGAGCTGAGCATGATAACAGGGCAGGGGCCTCACCAGCCTGGCCCAGTCCCACCCCCCTGAGCAAGGTGAGCAGGGCACCTCTGGTGGTAGCAGTGAGGTTCCACCAAGAGTATGATCACTAGGCAAGTCCACAGTGATGAGGCAGATCCAAGGTCGAGCTGGGGAGACAGATGCATGGCACGGGGTCTGCATCAATGGGGTACGGACTGAGCCCAGGCATGGCTGCAGTGTAGCTCGGGTAAGAGGCAAGAGCCTCAGGTAAAAGCAGCTCCCCAGGAAAGGAGGAGGGATTCCCTGCTGAGGTTCTCAGCAGAGCTGTTTGGGAGAGCCTAGACAGCAGCAGTTTCTGGCTTTCTTCACAACAGTTCTTGTCAGACCTTGAGCAACCAGCGACACAACCTGAAGGGGAGAGTGTGCCCTAGGCCTTGACATACTGTGCCCTTCAGGCTACAACTCCTTGAAGTACATCTCTGTCCTGGACACCAACCCTTTTCCTCCTGCTGAGGGTTTGTGAAAGATGTTTTCTCTAGTGGAAAACCTGCTCTGAAGGGCCTTAGTTGCCTAACAAAATAGTCTCAGATTAGCTTAAATTTGACTTGGACAACTCTTTGTATTTCACAGACTTGCATGCAGTTGACTCATCAAATCACTTATCCCTACCCCGCAGCAGATCCCAGAGAGTCCCTCTCAGCTTAAAACTTGTGATGAACTTCATCTGCATCCTTATCCCAGCCCTCATCCTACCTCTCAGGTTTTGGCAAAGTGTCTCTGGAAGTCCAGCTTGGAAAAAAATAATTTCTCTAAGCTGCTAGACAAAGCAGGGGCTGCCCTGCAGTCCCAAACTGAACTGCATGTCTGTCCTAAGCAGAGCCCTCATCCTAGCTCTCAGGGTTGAGGAGGACCTGAGGGGAACTCTTAGCCCTACCTTACACAGTCACAAAGTCTGGCCATTCTCTTCTCCTGTAGAAAAAGACATGGCTTTCTCCCACCTCAACACACTGTTCAAAGTTGCATCTCAGGCTACGTAGCAGAGCATAGGTGCAGAGGAGTCCTGTATCTGGCTCCTTTTCTCAAGATGTCTTCCACACCCCTCAAAGGTGGGGAGGGTGGACCTCAGACTGATGAACTCCTGTCTTTCAGACTGCCTTCAGTATGACTTCAGGTAATGTTTATATTTCTCAGAGTCCATCCAGCTGACTCAATAGCTAACATATGCCTATGTGAGTATTAAAAAAAAATACCTGAGCGGTAAAACTGCCAGCAGTGTAGTTTTGTCTACTGTGATCCATATATATATATACACATAAACTGTAACTTTCTTACTGATTAGCATATTGCCAGTATATAGGCTGGCAGATGAGCAGGTGAGGGTGTAAGCACCATCCAGAGATGTCCATTTTCATGAAACAGGAGCTGTTACTTCAGGTTCAACAGCCTCTTTGCTGTGACTGCAGTGTGATGACTCACGTAGATGTTCAAAACTAAGCCAGCTGTTCAAAACCACAACTTTTGGCTGCAGCAGCAGGGTTTGTTTTCCCCTTTCTCTCTGTTCCTTCTGTCCTGTCACTCTCAAGGGCAGAGATGGAGAAGGTACTGTTTTATAATGGGAAGTCACTGAGAGTCTTCTTCCTTGTTTCAGGAAAATGTTTGGGTTTTCACTAATTAAAAGAAAGTACTCTGGGAAATGAGAAAAGTTTAGGAATCCTGTCACCACCAGAAGTTGATCTTTGTAGCTGATCTCAATCTTTCCTCTAAGCCTGCTAGTGGACAAAGATGCAGATCAGCTCTCCGGGTTTATAAAGGGCACTTTGACATGTTTCTGGGTAATAAACGAGACATCTACTGTCTCAGAAATTGTAGACATATGAGCTTTTTAGCTGAAGTATATTTATTCACAAACTTATTAATCATTTATTTTCTATGTTAAAATATGGTTCATGACATAACTTAGGTTTTGTAAAACAGAGTACTGTGCTGCAAAAGTTTCCTACTGGATGCAATGAAGTAAGATACAAAAATGCTATTAAAATGAAAAAAAAAAAAAATCAATAGCTTTGTTATCTTAGTCATTTGATCTGACAGCTTCAGCAACCACAGCAGTGCCTGAATGGAGACTTAATAGTCCAAACTGCAAACATATGCTGAGCCAGGACTAAGAACCAGTTCATACTGTATTTCTAGTTTGGCTAACGAGCAGTTACGGCACCTTCAGTATCTCATTTCTCTTCCCTGCATCCCAGTTTCATAGAAGGGATAAATTATGCTTCCCTTATTTCATAAAGCACTTCCAGTGTTACACATCCAAATCTCTAAAACTAAGAATTATGGCTATATTCCACACAAACACAGAACTTCTTGAACAGATGAAAGAGCCGGCATCTTATACTACACTTAAAGCTAGAAAACACGTATGAGTAACAGCACACTTTATTTTATAAAGAACAAAACCAGACCTTTACTTTAAAGCAGACACAAATAACGTGCATGAGATTAAAATGAAATATGGAAATAGAGGTATGTATAGATTATGTATACACGCATGAAATTAATGTATAATGCTGAACAGCGTGGATTTTAGAGATAAGCAGTATAGAATCAAGCAGCAATGAAGCGAGATACAGAAAAGTTGCCAAAATTAAAGATTTTATTAGCTGTGCCATCTTACGGTTTTCTGAACATGTTGAGTAGTCCCAGCATTACTGAAACTGAATTTCAGCAGCCTGTCCGGCATTTTTCTGTAGGATGCAGGGTTTTCCACCTCCAATTTTGTTCTAATATAGCCTAGCACAGTGCTGACTAGAGAACTGATTGTTCTTTAGGGGCTTCTATGCAACAAGCAGGGATGTTTCTCTGGCTCCTGATAGTCAAAAGTCCACCACACAGTTACTGTTTACCCAGTGAACAGCACACACCGGCACTTTCACTGCGGCTGCCAACTACCAAACTGAGCCTCCTGGACTCTGGCACCAGCATGCCCGGTTTTGAGCTCTACAGAGCTGGAAAAAGCCATGTTTATTGCATGGATGCTGCTGGCAAACCTGTCCTCGCTGTTTCTCTTAGCCAGAATTCATCTTAAAGATAGTTCTTGCTATTGTTGTAAAGCTGAGAGAATAAGCTGCTACATAACCCCCGTAACGTGAGTTGTCACAGCCTGAACAAGTGTTCTGGAACGGGTGACGGCTATATGAACTTTGCTCAAAGCCCTGAAAGGCTTCTGGGCCACCAGAAGAGGCTCAGGGCTACGCGGTTTGTCACAGCAAAAGCCTTTCGGCCGTTTGGCGAGGCCTCACCTCATCGTGCGGGGTCCGCACCCAGCGGCCATTCCTCTCAGCGGACCCTGGTTGTAAGGATGGGTATTTGATGTTTGTTTTAAACCGGCTCCAAAGTAATGCTTGAAACAACATACCAGCCTGTTAAAAAAAAAAATAAAAAAAAAATACTTCGGCTAAATTACAAGAGCATCTCCAGAAAACTGAAACCGTAGTTCAGTCAAGTGACGGTTTTAAGGTTACGATTCAGCACACGGCTGGTTTTTCTCAGGAGGAGGAAAAAAAACCCAACCCCTGGGTTTGGCCAGGACCCTGCATGTCACACGGCGCCCTCCACCTCCCGCCTCCCCCCCTCCGGCCCGGGCCCTCCGCCAG